AAAAGAAAAGCCTTTTCATCCACAGTTTATATCCCTAGCTCTAGGGCAGAGGCCAAATATTTGTATGTTTCCCAACAACACCTCACATGGAGGATTGCATTCAACTGGTTGATTATCTTATTAATTTAAAACCCACCCATGCTAGCTCAGATTAGCTGACTAAAATAGGGGAAAGACCATTTCCCATATCTCAAAACTTAGCCAAATAAAAAGAACACATTCCCAGGCATTGCACAACTTCTGAGTACAAAACACCAGGCATGTATAGTAAACAAATAAAACTGCCTCAGCCTGTCAGGAGCCTAAAAACACGGTGGGAGGGAAGGGAAGTCAGGGTGAGCAGGCTGCGCTGATCAGGGTGGGCTCTTCCTTACGTTCACATCTGCCCTTGAGGCTGAGCACGAGTGTGCCCTGGCTTCTATGGAAAGGAAAGGAGGTCAGCTCCCCCTCAATTTCAAAATCAATTTTTATAGATTATACTGTAACAACAATTACATGGTTTTTAAAAAATATTTTTTATTGATTTCAGAGAGGAAGGGAGGAAGAGAGAGATAGAAACATCAGTGATGAGAGGGAATCGTTGACTGACTGCCTCCTGCACGCCCCCTACTGGGGATCGAGCCTGAAACCCGGGCATGAGCCCTGACTGGAATTGAACCGTGACCCCCTGATTCATAGGTCGATGCTCAACCACTGAGCAACACTGGCCAGGCAGCAATTATATGTTTGAGAGCATTTTATAGCTTTATCACACTTGCAAACCATTCAGGCCGGGTAAGCAGCCTTACAGATGAGTTGAGGAGGTGGTATTATTATTAGTTATTCAGATAAGGTCTTGTATCATTACTTGGCAGAGTTAAGTTCACTTTATAAGGACAGAAGACGTGTGTTGAGTGTTTTCCATGGGACGGGCCCTGGGCTGAATGCTTTACAGGTGGAATCTCATTTAATCCCACCACTGGCTTTCAAAGTAGGTGCTACGATTATTGCTGTTTTTCAGAGGAGAGAACTGAGGCTTAGAGAGTAACTTGCCACTGGTTCCTTAGCTCTCAAGTGGCAGAGCTGGAATTCGAACCTGGGTCTGTCTGCTCCCGAACCCTTTGCTTTTAACCCCCACGATATGCCATCTTTCAAGCCCTTCAGGGCCGGAGCGGCCTCAGCCCCCTTCTCTCTGGGCTCAGGGAGCCATGGTGCCGGCCCAGGAAAGGGGATGGGAGATGACGTCTCTCTCTAAGATTGCTGCCTTTTGTCCAAATGTGCTGGCCAGGAGCCAGGCTGGAAACTCTCTGCTCATGGAAAGAAAGAGAACAGAAGCCAAAAGAGGGTGGGAAAGGGTCTGAGGGGGAGGAAAGGAAGAGGAAGACAGGAAGGAGAGAGGGAGAGAGGAGGTGGGGAAGTGAGGAAGTGAGGGTTTTGGGGCAGCGCTGCTGGAGCCAGAGCCGTCCTGCCAGGAAGCAAACAAACCTGGGCCTTCAGGTGCACTCCCTGCAGGTGCTGCTCCTGGGGTGCTGGGAGCATGCAGCCCTGGTGGGCCCAGACTGGGGCTCTCCAGTGCTCAGTGGCCCAGACAGATCACTCAGGGGGCCCTGCTTCCCCCGCTCCCCTCCTCAGTATTCCTGTTGGGCGAGGTCAGGTTAAAATGGACATCAGGAAAGCCTTCTGAGTTTGGAAAAATAAGTTACAACATGGCAGCCGGAAGTAGAGGGGGATGGTCAGGCGGTGCTTGGTGCCTGGGTGTGCAAGGTGGGCATGGAGGGGCTGGTGAGCAGGGAGGAAGGGTAATGGGGGCCGGGTACTTTGAGTAAAAGTCCATCATAACAATTTACTGAGTTCTACTCTATGTCCAGGAGGGGAGGCCTGTCCCCTGTCCTTAAGGCCCTGGTTTGGGCATCAGACACCACAAAAATCCGACAACCTGGATTCATCCAGCATCTACGTGGCCTTGGGAAAGCTAACCCCGCTATAAATGGCTTTGCATTTATAAAGGGGAGGCCACAGTAGGGTTGGTGTGAGGATTCAATGAAACAATCTGTGTAGAATCTTGCCTAGAGAAGAGTAATTGCTCGGTAAATGTTAGCCATTCATTCATTATTGCAGTTTAATTTGACATGCCAAACATAAATATGTGAAACCATGAATAGAACATATACTTAACAAAGCTGCTACTCATAAAAGAGATAATACAGCCCTGACCGGTTTGGCTCAGTGGATAGAGCGTCGGCCTGCGGACTCAAAGGTCCTGGATTCAATTCTGGTCAAGGGCATGTACCTTGGTTGCAGGCACATCCCCAGTGGGGGGTGTGCGGGAGGCAGCTGATCAATGTTTCTCTCTCATTGATGTTTCTAACTCTCTATCCCTCTCCCTTCCTCTCTGCAAAAAATCAATAAAATATATTTTTAAAAAAGAGATAATACAAGGTCATGCATGTTTAGTTAGATAATCAAGTGTAGATAAATTAATAACTGCTATGGAAATTCAGGGGAGGGGCAAGAACTTCAGTTTGGGATGGCCAGGGTAGGTATTATGGAAAAGTTGGGTCTTAAGCCAGATTTTGAGTTGGGAAAATAACAACAAGGAAGGGGTAGAATGACAAATTGGGGAAAAGAGTATGAGCCAAAGATGGGGCTGGGAAAGTTCTCATTCACGGAAGCCCAGGAGTGTTGGGACATTCTAGCCATTCTCTTGCCCACAATATGCACTTGGACACAGTACGTCATTTACTGTATACATTCCAGCTGCAAAAACATTGATCACCAGGATGCTGCACCAAACGAAGCGGCATCTGGCTGTGACCTAGCATAAGCCCCTTGCTCAGTCTGTTTCGCCTTCTCTGTGGCTCCGGCTGTTTAAGTAGCATTCTCTGTTTATTTTCAGTCTCTGTGTCTTCTTTTGATTCTCTGTCTTACCTTCAGTCTCCAGTTTGTTTCCTTTAACCTGCAAACACTAAGACTGTTTTCCTCTCTGGTATTGGGCAGAGAAGCTCTTGAACACTATATTTTTTTCATAAAAGAAGAAAAAGCATTCAGTAGGAGCCAGTGGCTAATATTACCTAGAAGCTTTGGGGCAAATGTTTTCTTGTTGTTGTTGTTTCATAAAAATCTACATCCTAATAACAAAGAATATTTATCTTAAAAAAAGAAAAACCATCCCTGGCCGAGTAGCTCAGTTAGTTAGAGCATCATCCAGATACACCAAGGTTCCGGGTTCGATCTCTGGTCAGGGCACATACCAGAAACAACCAATGAATGCATAAATAAGTAAAACAATAGATTGATGTTTCTCTTTCCCTCCCCCCTTCTAAAATTAATAATTAAAAAAAATTTTTTTAAGAAAAAGAGAAACCAACAATAAAAAGAACACTAACCCCAGAAATCTCTGGGTTTCTGAAGAGTTGGGCTCCTCGAATGTCCAAAAAGAAAAGAACCACCTTCATCCCAAATAGTAACTAGTAGACCCAAGTTCTCCAGAGAAACACAAGTCACCCGGGGAAGGGAAAGAAGTGTGGAGGAGGTAAATGAGCTCTAGATGGGGCGACAGGAACCTTGGGCCCTGCTGCTGCCTTGGCCACGCCCCAGCCAGGTGACAGAGGCTAGGTGAGCCACACAACTCCTGGGCCACACTGTCATTTCTAGCCCTGGCTGCTTCCCTGTCACCTTCTCTGCTCCTATCTTGGAGCTTCTCCAAGCCAGGGGCTTTTCTAGCTTTATTATGTATCTCTTCCTCCCTCCCCCCCCCCCCAATTTCCTCACCAGACTGGGGCCTCTAAGAAGCACTGTCATTTGCAGGCTGGGTTCCCAGTGACCGGCTGGGTCACGAGGGGCGAGCACTGAGGCCAGGAGGAGGATGTGGAAGGCTGGGTCAGCCAGTGCAGGCGTTGTTGCCAACAGGGTCCTGGGAGAAGGGGCTCAGCATTTCCTGAAGGGAAATGACTCCCATAAATAGTCAGAGGGATGGGAAAAGGATTTCTCCATCCCTTTCATCCTGTCAACTCAGCTCTTCCTTCTGGTGTCCAGACTCTGCAGCCTCTTGTAAATGCTTTTCATTCAAATGTGTCAGTGTGTGGGGGGAGATGTGAGCTCTGCTTTCTTGTCTATCCCAGATTCACAATAAGAACTGAAAAAGACATGCATGCCTTTTGTTCGTTCTTTTACCCACACTAACGTCTCATCGGTCCATTCCAGTAGAAGGCCAGAGGGTTGTTGTAGGGTTTTTGTTTTTTGTTTTTTAAAGCCAAAATATACCCAATAGGCATTTTATTATATTTCTTAGCTGTGGTCCCAGTTTATTATAAGATTAGTTTTTCATTTATACATTGTAATTAAATTGTTCATAAAGCCCAAAACTATAGGTTACAAAGGCATGAGTTTTGAAAATAAAATGACACATTTTAACAACTTTTTGGTATAGTACAAACTATTCTCCTTATTTTGCCATTAAAAGTTGTCTTGTTTAAGAAATTTTGTACACATTAAGTAAAAAACACTTTCGACTAGTATATCAGTACTTCCGATTTTGAGTTACTATCTAGCATTGAATTTTTACAACTACTCATCTTATAAATTAAAAATTGCCACTCAAGCCTATGTTCTACAATAAGCAGTTTGTAAATGCTAATTATTTATGACAGCATGAAATGATGAAAAAAATGTTATCATAGTTTGAAAATACAGTACCCAGCTACAGAAATACTAAAAAAAAAAAAATAGCCCCTTTTCTTAACTTCAAATGCAGATTTCTAACTTCCTCAAATTTTTATCAAAAATTAAATTGAATATCTAGGTAACATACAGAAAGACTGAAAAAAAAATTACTTGGAACTAGGACTTATCACTGACCATAAAGATAAAGCAATTTAGTCAAAACATCCATTAACTGGAAACATTCACTTTATTCATTCTCTCTCTCTCTCTCTTTCCCCCCCTCTCCTTTCTATGTTTTAACAGCAGACCTTGTGATCTTTTATTCCTAAGTTTCAGTACATCAAAAGAAAAAAGTGTTCACAGCTCATTTAAAGATAATAATAAATACATGAAAACAATGAAAACAAATCAGTGTGTGTTAGCAAACTGCAATTATCCTGAAGTTTTAGTCTTCTTGACAGGTGATGGCCAAAACCCAAACTATGGAACAAATACTCCGAAACTTTAAGTTCAATTTAGATATCGTCAATGTCTTCATCATCATCTCCAATGTCATCAAACTGGATTTCATCATCATCTCCAGGACCAAATGTATCTGTTTCGTTGATTTTAGCATGTTCTGGAAGCTCGCCATATGCCTTCAGACTTCTAGCTTCATCTGCATTGTACTTTAAAATTACATCAGCTTTGTTATCCTGATAGTCTCGCAGACCAACCAATATAATGTCTGAGGTATTTATCCAAACCTTTTTTCTCAGTTTTCCTCTGATATGACATAACCTCTTTACACCATCAAAACACATTGCTTCTAATCGTCCATTTCCCAGCATTTTGATTACCTGAGCATACTCTTGGCCATCCTCTTTAAAGACCAGTTCTCTCTTTTCAGATTCATTCTCATTCTTACCTCTTCGCCTGTTTTTACCTCCTTTCCCTTTATTCTTGGGCATGATGGCGCCGGCTTCCTGGCGGTTGGGATCTGATGGTGCCGGGGCAACGGCGACTCCTCCAAGGGGCCCACGAGACGAAACAATGGCAGATGTCGAGGAACACTGATGCAACTGAGTTCCACGGCGATGCGGAGACAACCACCTTTTATATATATTTTTAATTGATTTCAGAGAGGAAGGGAGAGGGATAAAAAAAATTAATGATGAGAGAGAAGCATTGACTGGCTGCCTCCTGCACGCCCCCCCCCCCGCCCCCCACTGGGGATCAAGCCTGCAACCCGGGCCGCCCCCTGACCGGGAAGCGAATCATTCATAAGGCAAGGCTCAACCACTGAGCCACACTGGCCGGGTAAGGCCAGAGATTTTTGGTGGGATTTTATGGGGGAAAGAAGGGAAGTGCACGCCTCCAAATGCCATGTCCTATTTACCTTCATCCAAGGGTGCAGCAGATGCTTGTCAGCTGCTGTTTAGGGTCCTTAGGAAGGCGAAGTCTCATGGCATCGGCCTCACTAAGGCTTGGGATGTTCCCAGCAGCTCCAGTGCCATGAGGCGTCACCTTGGAGAGGGAAGGGACCGATGGCCGCTGCTCTGCTGACCCTCAATAAAGTGATGGGAGTGACCGGCTCAGGCCCAACCGCCCACGGCAAACCTAAGGGGGGCGCGGGGCGTCCCTTAGTAGCTGAAGTTTGCTCAGCCTCAGTCGTATGGCTGCAGACTCGTGTTTAAAACTCCGTGAAGAAACAGCTTTCCTTTTTCGCTGGAGGAAGGTAGTTTAACAAATTGAACGTGACCGTCTGTGTTAGTGGGAATTCTTTTGGTCGCTTGAGCAAACACGGGCATGAAGGTATCCTGTGGAACCGCGGGCGGGAATGCAGTCTGGCCTCAAGAGTGGACGGGATCCAGGGGTGCACAGCCATCTCCCCACCCCATCGTTCTCCCCCTCAGCCCCGCTCCCGGGGACTCAGTTCGCAGGGTGTCCGCAGGGTGGGAAATGGCTGCCGCCCAGCGAGGTCTTCTGGTTCCCTCCGGGCCACACCCATGAACAAACCTCCCTGGGACGGAAGCTGATTGGTCCGGCTTGAGTGAGGCCGCCTCTAGGACCAATCAGCTGTGGCTGGGGGGCGGGGTCATAGTCCAAACATGGCGGCCCAGTTCCGGCGACCAGCGCGCGTGGGCGGTGGGTCAGTGTGCAGAAAGCGGGCCGCCCTGTGAGGTAGGCAAGCTCCGCTGCCGCCTGCGGTAGCTTCTGCTGGCGGTCTGTTTTTTAAATGGTTTTTTAACCATCTTGTGCTCCATTGCCCTAACCACTGTGTTCATAAGAACCCTGCTTCTTCGAATCGCTTGCTAAGTCCCTTGGCAAAGGTGTAGTGACAGACGTAGTGGAATACTAAAGCCCGGGCTTTGGGGCGGACACATTGCTGTTTGGATGTCGGTGATACTGTTACCAAATAGTCTCCTCGAGTGTGAAATGAAATTGACTTTCCATTATGTGTCCAGCACACGGTGCTAGGTGCTTTGATGGACCCTCCCTCCCTTTTTTCCTTCTTCCTCTCTCTCCTCCCCTCCCCTTTTCTCCCCTTCCTTCCTTACCGGCTTTACTGAGGAGGTCTAACTCGCATACCATAAAAATTCATCCAGTTCAAGTGTACAGTGTAATGGTTCTTAGTATATTCATAGAGTTGTGTAACCTTCACCAGTCCATTTGACAACATTTTCATCCCACCAGAGAAGAAACCGGGACTTCTTTTGTTGTTGTTGTTCATCCTCACCAGAGGGTATTTTCCCATTGATTTTTAGGGGGGGGGGGGGGGCAGAGAAACATGGATGTGAGAGAGGCACATTGGTTGGCTGCCTCCCCGGGCTCCCTGGCCAGGCGGGGGATTGAGCCTGCGGCAGAGGGACGGGCCCTTGACCGAAATGGAACCAACCAGGACCCTTCGGTGTGCAGGCGGCGCTCTCTCCACTGAGCCACCCGGCCAGGGTGAAACACGCACTTCTCAGCCAGTAGCACCCCTATCCCTTTCCGTCCTAAGCAACCAGGAATCCGCCTTCTGTCTCTACAGAGTTCCCTACTCTAGACATCCTCCTTCCTACATAATAAAAGGGAAATATGCAAACTGACCCTAATGGCAGAACGACCAGAGCGACTGCTCGACCAGTTACTATGAGATACACTGACCACCTCTCGGTCCCTTTCCCCAGGCGACAGGCTCCAGTGGCCTGATGGTGAACCAGGAACTGGGGTGGGTGGCGGCAGGGGTGGGGCTGACTGTGGGCAGCCGGGAAAGATGGCCCTGATCGCAGGCCAGGCCTGGGGACAGGATCCGCGCATTAATTTCGTGCGTTGGGCCTCTAGTTTTATATAAATGGACTCATACAAATGTGGACTTTGGGACTCGCTTCTGTCCACTTAGCATAGTGTTTTCGAGGTTCATACGTGTGGTAGTGTGTATCAGTCCTTCATTCTTTTTATGGCTGAGTAATACTCCATTGTATGGATATATCACATTTGGTTTATCCATTGGTCAGTTGATGATATTTGGATTACTTCTTAATGGCCATTATGAATAATGCTGCTGTGAATGTTACTATAGAAGAATATATGTGGACATGTTTTCATTTCTCTTGGGAGATAGATTATTTCTATGATTATGTTTGTGAAGTGCTTAATGCAATGCCTGACAGATCACAGAACACAACAGTGCTAATTTCTTTACTCTGACCTTCCCAAAGGTCATGAATGAAAGCTATTTCCTGCTTGCTGCCCCTAGAAGAAAGGCAGCCTCTCCCAAAGAGCCTGACCCTGTGGGTCAGACCCCGAGGTTACTGTCCCTGGGGTCCTGGCATCATTGAGTAGCAGATTCTTCCATCAGGCCTATGAGTGGGTCGATCCAGGGTGGTTCTGGTTGAAGGTACTGAGAGAGCAGAAAACAAGGTTTGAGGGTCAAAATATAAAATCTGGAGTAGAAAGACAAGAATTGGATTCCATGTTCTACTACTTAAACACTGTAATTCGGGGCAAGTCTCTGAACCTTGATCTTCTCACCTGGCAAAGGAGGATAATAATAATTACATTTTGAAATTGGTGAGAGGAAGTGGGCTTTTGTGTGTTAACGTATGTGTATAATATGGAAATCAGGGGCTTTACAAGTATATTCTAAGCTCTAGAAAAATAATTAGACTTAAAAGAAAAATTTTAAAACATTTTTAAAAATGTTTATTTTAGAAAGGAGGGAGAGAGAAGAAGGGAGAGAGAGAAACACCGATTTGTTGTTCCACGTATTCATGCATTCACTGGTTGATTCTTGCATGTGCCCTGATTGGGGATCAAGCTGCAACCTTGGTGCATTAGGACAACACTCCAACCAATGAGCCACCCGGCCAGGGCAGGAATCAGACTTTTGAAACTCTTCAAGTCATAGCATGTTCAGGGGATGGTGGAGCTCTTTAGGAGCACTGGTCAGATTCTTCTGGGCTGCTCTTAACTCCTCAGGGCTACAAACTAGTTCTTGCCTGCAGCTGGTTTCCTGGCTCTGAGAAAGACCCAGATCATCCTCAGTTCACCAGGGCGGATGACTGGACAGATGACCTAGCAGTTCTGTGCAAATTATTTTCCACTATAGACCCCTGTTACTGTACCTTTTTAATAGTATAACTCAGGTACTGATGATTGACAAGACAAAGGGACAAAGGATGCAATGGCTCCAGGGGACATCCTTCCTGGTGGTCTTGTGATGGATGATTGTTTATAATTGATACTGTCTCCATGCATATATAGTTTCCCATGCAATTCCAGCCATTACTAACAAAAATGTTTATGGTTACATTTTATGGAACACAGATAATCATCAACTAGAAGGCTTTGATACGCTTGCTGTGATCAGTGAGGTTGGTCAGAAGTCATAGCATGAAGGAAATCCAGGACACAAAGATGGAGTTAGTTTTGTTCAAATCTACACAGCTAATGTAAGCATTCAGTCATTTGAGATTATGCAAATATCTATTGCCTTTCACCTATCTACCCCAAAGGAAATTCGGTCCATCCTTCAAGCCCAGATTCACAAAAGGATCTTCCTTTCACCTGTTTTGCTTATCATATTGTATTTTGCATTGGAGACATTCATGTGCATCTTTTTCCCCACAGCTTTATTGAGATACAATTGATATATGACATTGTGTAAGTTTAAGGTGAATAACGTTATATGATATACGTATATATTGCAGAATGATTACCACAATAAGTTAACACTTCCATCACCTCACACAGTTAACTCTTTTTGTTTGTGATGAGAACATTTAAGATCTACTCTCTAAGCAGCTTTCACGTCTATTATACAGTACTGTCATATGCGTCTTATTTGCTCTTGGAGGGCTAATCTATTTATTTTACATTTTTCCCAGGCTTCACTCAGTTCCATTGTGAAGTAGACACAACCATTAGTTAGAAGAATGACTTGCATGTCAATTTTCCTGTTAGTCATGGTTCTCAGTATAATCTCCCTTTGGACCCATTTAAATTTCTGTACTGGGAAGTAGTTACTACAGACCAAGTCTTGGTGGTCACTAAGGGAAAGGAGGTAATGAGAACAAAGTATCACTTACCCTTCCTTTCAGGAGATACTGTGACAAAGCAAAGTAAGTTGCAGAGTGATGGGCTCAGCCCAGCCGGAAGCCCTGCAACTGTGAGACAACTTTGGAGCCCTTTGGAGGCGCCATGGACAGACCTAGACACCCACAGACAACAGCAGGGTTTACATTTCCATTATTTGTAATAGTAATAATAATGCATGCTTGTTATAGAAAACTAGAGGCCTGATGCACAAAATTCATTCAAGAGTAGGCCTTCCTTCCCCCAGCTGCCAGCACCAGCTTCCCTCTGGCACCCGGGACCCGGGCTTCCCTCGCAGCCCCAGCTTCTTCGGAAAGACGTTCGGTCTAATTAGCATATTACGCTTTTATTATTATAGATTTGGAAATCAAGTGTTTTTTTTGTTAAAAATATAGATGAGCCGAAGCCGGTTTGGCTCAGTGGAT